ACCCCGAGAACTGTCTGCACCCTGCCATGTTTGCACCGACTTTGGATCCACGCAACTATGCACCATTGGCCTGTGATCTTTCTGCTTCTTGGTCCACTGGCCTGAAGCTGTGTGAGTCTGAAGACGGACTTAAGGACTAACATCAGAATTGATAGACAATTATTTCTTGATATAAGGTTCTTTTGTATACATAGATGAGTTTTTCTAGACAACCTGACCTAACACATTAAGCTCATAGGGATGAGGGGATATAATCTCCTGGGACCCATGACCCCGTGCTAGACTATGCTGTGGGCACCCTGGGGCTCCCTCACATGCATCCTGATCCCATTTCCAGTGTCCATGTCAGTCTCTTCCTGAGATCTGTCCCAGGAAGGGCTGGTGGTGCTGCTTGATGCACCGCTAAACACTGTACCACTTGGGGGCCTTCTCTGCCTCACAGTCTCACTGGATCTCCCTAGCGGAGCATGTGCCCAGCATCCCTACCGGCTGCCTTGGCTCAATTTCCTTCCTGCTTTTCAATTCAAATTTTCAGGGGCACAGATCTCACTGGATCTCCTGATACTCTTTTGGGAAAACCTCTTCCACCAAGACCATTTCATAGGCCAGTGTCTGGGTCTCATTACTACAGCTAGTAGCCCATCAGGAGCCCTGGTGGCATAGTGGTCATGCAGTGAGCTGCTAACCACAAGGTCAGCAGTTTGGAACCACCAGCTGCTCCATGGAAGTAATTCCCATCAAGAATACAGTCTCGGAAAGCCACAGGGGTAGCTCTACCCCGTCCTGTAGGGTCACTATAAGTGAGAATCTACTCAGTGGCGGTGAGTTTGGTTCTGGGGTACCACCTCACCCATGGGTTGGCTCTCCTTTCACCAAGTGTGCCCCCTAGGAGGGGTGACACAGTAGAAAATATGGCTGCCCAGGGCGGGCCCATCCGCAGAGCCGTCAGAAGGACAGCTACTCTTCAGAGTGGCTGTGGACAGAGCAGACAGAACAATTGCACATGACAGTCGTTGTGGTGAGGCTTGACAGCCTCTGTATCATGTTTTCTATATCCTCAAGTTCATCGGATCAATCACGATCGTCACCTGATTAACCATGACCAGGATTAATCAGTATATCACTAGTAGTGACACTCGAAAGAACAAACCCACTGCCATTGCACCCACTTTGACCCATCGTGACCACCTAAGACTGAGAACTGCCCCATAGGGTTTCCCAAGAGAGAAATCTTTTAGAGAAGGGACTTGCTCCAGCTTTCTCTCACAGAGGGACTAGGGGGTTCAGCAACGCTTTCACTGCTGCCCCACTGGGGCTCTTCCGGGAGCTTTTGCCACCAGTGTACATTTCTTCTTCTTGTCCAAACTAAGGATCCCTGGTGCATCGGGCTCCTAACCACAGGTGTGCAGCTTGAAACCACCAGCTGCACCTGCTGGAGCCACACAGAGCTCTCTGCTCCCATAAGCAGTCTCGGAAACCTGCAGGGGCAGTTCCACCCTATTCTATAGGGTGCTGACTAGCCTCGACTCAAAGGCAGTGAGTTTGGGGCTTGGGGGTGGTGGCAGAATGGGGGTTCCTAAGCCTTTGATCAGCCATGGTCCTCACTCATTTTTTTCCTTTTAAATCATCTTATTGGGGCCCTTGGGGTTCTTATACCACTCCATACATCAATTGTATCAAGCATATTTGTACACATGCTGCCATCATCATTTTCTAAACATTTACTTTCTATTTGAGCCCTTGGTATCAACTCCTCTTTTTTCCCTCTCCCCTTCCCACCCTTGTGACCCCTTGATAAATTATAAATTAGTATTATTTTCATATCTCACACCGATTGCTGTCTCCCTTCACCCACATTTCTGTGGTGTGTCCCCCTGAGGTGGGTGTGTGTACCGATCATTGCTATCAGTCCCCCCTTCCTCCTCTCCTCAACCCCTTTGCCCCCTCCCCTCCCCCGACTCCCATTCTCACTCATTTTTCTAAGGCGCAGGAGATACTGCCTCTTCCTGAAAGGTATCATTTCCTTTCTGTGGGGCCTGCGCTTCACTCACTGGGACCAGGAAAGGTCTTGTGACAAGGCCCAAGCAGGGTGGTGATCATTTGGGTCCTGAGAGCCACAGCTAGACTTGACAGGGGGATTTATGAGGCTGAATCAAGGTCCTTCGCAGATACCCAGGCAAAAGGTTAAGAGAGCCCAAACCAGGAGACAATCCGATGGTGATCAAGCATTGGGCAGTGCTGGAACAGAGGGTGAGAGAGGCAAGAACTTGTGAGACCAGAGCACAAGGGGCGGTTTTTGCTGTTCCAGACTCCCCAGGTACGATTCCACCTCTCCTCTGTCCACTCAGAGCCTCTTACTCTCCGCTGGGACGACTTCTTCTTGCTGACTTCAGAACTCCCCATCCCATGAGCAGCCTGGAGTAGGTTACTCAGAAGCCCTGCTGGTACGGTGGGTTAGGAGTGGGGCTGCTAACCGCCAGGTCAGCAGTTCAAACCCACCGGTCGCTCCAAGGGAGAAAACGGAGGCTTTCTGGTCCCGTGAAGTTTTCATCTCCTATACAGGGCTGCTGTGAGTCAGACCCACTGCGAAGCCCCTGAGAACAACAACAGAGGAGTCAGAAGCCAATTGAAGGCAGTGGGTTTGGTTTTGTGGTTTACAGGGCACCGAAACTTTGCATCTTCCTCAGGGAACTTCTGCTCCTATCGATTTGACTGTCCTGGGAAGAGCCATTTATACATTTTAAGCTGCATATCCTATCTGTCCCTACCTGTTAATCTACTGGTTGAGGTAGCAGTTAGCAAGGTAAAGTACGATTGCATCTCCGATAGTCTCACACACCATCCCAGAGGCTCACACGGCTTTTTTCTGGTTTGGCATTCCGTATAGTAACAAGCCATCCCTCGTCCACTGACCTCAGTGCATGCTGCAGTATCCACACCTTTACCTTCAGCACTGCCTAAGAAAGACCTGCACACCGCTTCCTAGTCACAGAGGGTGCCACGGGTCACACCAAGGAGGAGAAGATCCCTTGAAAGGGTCCAACAGGTCTGAGACGATTGAAATGCCATCAGTCCTATGGTAGCAGGTTCTTAAGATCCATCACAGGGAGACATACAAATGATGCCAACGCTCTGAGGCCCAAGCCTGAACTCACATCTCCACCAGGGACAACTTGTTACACAACTCAGGACACCGGGGGAGTCGCCAACTTAAGGATGACTTCTATAGGGGTGGGGTGGGTGGGAGCGCGTGCCCAAGCCCGCGCCTGTTCACATAGTGAGGGTGGAACAGGGCGTCACCCCTATTTAGGATGTATTACAAATGGTGGCCCAGGGTGCTTGGAATCTTACTAATAATGCTACATGATGGGAGCATTGCAAAAGGGCTCTTTTTGGCCTGGCATGGGAGCCAAAACTCCCAAAGGCAAGCTTATCATCTTTTTGGCACATAGTCACAATTTGGGGCTGCTTCTAGTGTGTCCTTGATGTACGTACCATAAAACCTCTTCGTCTAATAAAATCCAGTTGCTGATATAGCACTAGCTCTTTCCTAAAGCGAACCTTCCTTCGCCTTTCAAAATCAGTATTTTCTCCCTGAGAAAATGTCGGCAGCACCTTGCTGCTGCTGCTTCAGAAAGCCCAGCTACATCACACAAGCCCCACGTCGTTCACACGAGCAAAAGGCACTGGCCCCTTCACCTGGAATTTCCAGCTCCCCAGCTAAGCAGCAAGCACAACGTCAAGCAAAGCACTGTCTTGCTCATCTTATTGAGTACAGACTATTTGCAACAAATGGGACCAATTTAAATTGTACACAGGAAAACGCATTACACATTCCAAAGTCTTTCTCACACATTTGTACACATTACCAAGTCTTTCTGGCTATAAAAAGGCAGATTAAATCATGTCTTATCAGGAACCTATTACAGTGCCTTAACTCTTTAGGAACAGAAACATGTGACCGTATGTATGATCCGGCCCTCTGACATTAGCTCTGCAACATAGCTTAGGTTAATTAGGACTTTTTCTTTTTCTTAAATCATTTTATTGTACGACTCTTATCACGATCCATACATATATTCATTGTGTCAAGGACATTTGAACATTTGTTGCCCTCATCATTCTCAAAACATTTTCTTTCTACTTGAGCCCCATTAAGACTTTTTCAACCAACCAACCAACTTCCTATTGTCTAATTAAAAACAAAATAACAACAACTATTTTGCCATTGAGTTGACACCAATTCATGGCAACTCCACGTGGGTCAGGGTAGAACTGCGCTCCGTAGGTGGAAGCACGGTTGTGTTTTCAGAAGCAGATTTCTAGACCGTTCTTTCTGGGTGCCTTGGGGTGGGCCCAAACTCCATAACGATAGCACCCCCCAAGGACCCCAGAGGAGGGCGCTGCAGGCACGAAAAGACACATCCAGCTTTGGGAAAATAAGTAGTTCGATGATCTTATTCAAGTAATTCCAGATCCACAATAACTTCATGTATGTCTCTTCCGAGGAGTTCCATGTTAAATTGCAATAATGCCTCACCCCCGAATCTCTTTGTGTAATCTGACTAGCATTCATTAGTCTATTTGCGTGTTTTTTTAAGGTACAGTTAGCAACACTAGCACTTGTACATTCACAATTCATGTTCACATCTGTTATTTAAGACCATGAAGTTTGGACGCTGGAGTCGAATTCCAATCGTGGCTGTCACCATAAATAAATGTGACCTTGGAGACGTAACTTAAACCCTCTGGGTCTCAGTTTTCCTATCTTCAAAAGGGGGTTAAGGATAGGAATCTCCTCCCTGAGTAGGTGATAAGGATTACGTGAGTTCATAGTTGCACATCTCTTAGCAAAGGAAGTACACATTCAATAAAACAGAAACCAAACCAAAGCGCTGCCATCATGTCGATGCTGACTCATAGTGAGCCTATAAGGCAGGGTGGAACTGCCCCAGGGGGTTTCTGAGACTGTCACTCTCTACAAGATTAGAAAGCCTCATCTTCTCCAGAAGAGCAGCTGGTGGTTTCGAACTGCTCACCTTGTGCTTAGCAGTCCAATGAGCAATCCGCTAGACCTCCCGGGGGTACACAGTCAAAATAGGGCAGATTTAATTATTGTTTAATTAATACTTGCCACAACCTCTATAAATTTGCTAGGCAGTTACAATGTTCCCTTTTGGAGAGATGAGATGAAGTGCCTCATCCAAGACAAGACCATTCCTTAGTGGCAGTACCTAGCCTTCGGATAACCCTCGCCCCCTTTGTCCTCAGTCGGCCTTAAAGACTTTTACCGAGTGCACTGCGGCGTCCAGCACAAGCAGAGCATTCTCTTTGGTGTAGGCCAGGCCCACGGGTTGGGAGACTCCTTGAGTGATGAGGGGCTTCAGTCCTGGGAAGTCCTCAGGTTTTCCTAAGCATAGCACAGCTTGACTAGTGGTGTCGGTGACAATTACATTCCCCTGGTGGTCGAAGGTCACAGCGGAGGCGGTTATGTGGGAAGGAAAGAAGAGGCTCAGCCCAAAGGAATCCACTTGGCTGATGAACTGCATGGTGGCGCTAAACACTTTCACCCTGCTGCTGCCCCCGCGGGTCCCCCCGGAAGCCAGGGGGTGCTCCAGGACCGCAATGGCCCTGGTGAGCCAAGACACAGCCACCCCTCGGGGACTGCACAGATCCGCGCACATCCTATCCGCTCTCCGGAGGATTCCTTCGGGGAAATCGACTTCCAGGAGGTGCAGGGACCCTGCCTCAGCGTCCGTCACCAGGAGCTCGTTTTGGGGCGTGGCAGCCACGCCCCAAGGTAGGGCGAACCGGCCCCCAACGACAAGCTTGAGCTGGCCCTCAAAATCAAACACTTTGATGGAGCGGTCGCCGGCGTCGCTGACGACCACGTGGCAGTCGCTGGTGACCGTAACGCCGAGCGGGTACCTAATGTTCTGGGCAGCTTCTCCTCTCTCTCCAAACTGAGAGGCACAGCCTCCCCCGGAGTCAAAGACCTGGACCCGCTTCTGGCCGTCGTGCACCACCGCGACCCGGCCTGTCTTGGGGCACAGCGCCAGCCCGGTGGGGTTGACCAGCGTCCCCCAGCCGCCGAAGGCCTGGCGGCAGGTGAGGGGCCCGGGGGCGCAGGGCACGGCGCGGGCGGCGGCCGGCGCCTGGCGAAGCGCGGGGCCCAGGAGCTCCAGGAGGTGCAGCACAGGCAGGCAGTCGCTGGTGTCGCAGCCCCGGCAGGCTCGCCGGCAGAAGGGACACTCGAGGGCCAGCGTCCGCGGGTGCGCCAGGGCGGCCACGCAGGCCAGGCAGACCACGTGGCCGCAGGGCAGGTTGCGCGGGCGCCGCTGGTGGCCGTGGCCGAACCTCTCGAAGCACACCTTGCACTCGAGCAAGCTGCTCTCGGCCTCGCGCACCAGCTCCCGCAGCGCCGGCCGGCTCCCGCGGGCGTCCGCACCCATGGCGCGGCCCCCGCGCCGCCCGCGGTCACGGTCACGGTCACGGTCACGAGGTGGCGCGGCCGGACTGACGTCAAGCGCGGCGGGCAGCGTGGCCGCGCGCTGCTGCCCCCTGCTGGACGCACGCGGCCGCTCTTCTCTAGAGACCCGCTGCTGGGACAAATTGCAAGGCGAATCCATATGCCTGCAATTCTCACAACAGTTGCCTTTGGAGGGTCACCCTTTTCCCCAGAGGAGGAAATCGAGAACCAGTGAATCGCACCCCAGCGCCCGGTCTATAAATAGTAAAGCAAGAGCTAGATCCTGCCTTCCAACCTTTGCTCCCCCAAATCTTTGAACCACTGAGTTCTGGGTGTTAGGGTGCATTGATTCTTCTTCCGTCTTCTATATTCAATGTTCAGCTTTCACATATATACGAGGCGATTGAACATACCCTGGCTTGGGTCAGGTGCACCTGTCCTCAAAGTAACCTCCATGCTTTTCAACATGCTAAAGTGGTCTTATGCAGCAGCAAGTACCCAATGCAATGCCTTGTTTGATCTCTTGACTGTTGCTTCCATGAGCACTGATTGTGGATCCAAGTAAGAGAAAATTCCCGACAATGTCACTGTTTTCTCCATTTATCATTATGTTGTCTATTGGGCCAGTTGTGAGGATTGTGGTCTTCGTTACATGGAGTTGCAAACCATCCTGAAGGCTTCGATCCTCCAGTGCTTTCAGTCTGCCTCAGTTTCAGCAAGCAAGGTTGTGTCAGATTGTTAATAAGCCTTCCTCCAATCCTGATGCCACATTCTTCTTGACATAAGCTACCGTCTCTGATGATTTGCTCAGCATACAGGTTGAATACGTATGGTGAAAGGATACAATTCTTACTCACTCCTTTCCTGATTATAAACCAGGCAGTATTATATTTTTATTTTTTATAGACCATTTTATTGGGGGCTCTTCCAGGTCTTATAACAATCAATATATCAATTTTATCAAGCACATTTGTACATATGCTTCCATTATCATTTTCAAAATATTTTTCCTACTTGAGCCCTTGGTATCAGCTCCTCTTTTCTCTCCTCCCTTCCCCACCCTCCCACCCTTGTGAACCCTTGATAAATTATAAATCATCATTATTTTCATATCTTACACCGAGGGATATTTTCCTTGAGACTCTGAAGACTAAGCAGGGATGACTAGGTGAAGATATGGGAAGACTGACCCAGGTAGAAATAATAACAAGTTCTGAGGCCCCGAGGCAGAACAGAAACCAGTGCAGCCCCAAACTACAGGCAGGTCAAGGTGGCCGTGTTTGTGAGAGACAGGGAGGGAGGACTGAGATGAGGCTAGACCAGTAGAGAAAGGAATCTCATCTAGCATTGCCTTGTGGCCTTGGCATGGAGTGGATATCCGCGCCCCACCTCCCACTCACACCCCGAATGCAGTGGGAAACCATATAATCCATTTGCATTTGAGAAATTGAGTATGAGTGTAAATGGGAGTAAGGCAGAAATGATAGTTGAGGTATTAGTTGGAGCTACTAGCAGGGGCATTTTTAAAAAACATTTATCAAGAAGTTCCAACACTAAGATACCTGACATCAACACATTTGGTCAGAATGCTTCATTCATTCGACAATTATATTTACTGCGTCCTGGGATACAGAACAGGAACCCTGGTAGCATAGTGGTTATGAGCTGGGCTGTTAACACAAGGTTAGTAGTTCAAAACCACCAGATGAGATGTGGGAGAAAGACGAAGCTTTCTAGTCCTGTTAAGAGTTACAGTATTAGAACCCCACAAGTGTTTAAAGATTATTCCAGTTTTTCTAAGACTCAAATTTCAAAACCTTTTTTTAAGTTTCATATAGCAAATTGATGCTTAGATATAAGTTATGTAAATATTTTGGACAAAACCACGTTTTTTTTCTTTTAAAGAAACACAACATTCATGTAAAACAGTGGTTTTCAACCTTCCTATTAAAGGGTGGCGACCCTTTAATACAGTTCCTCATGTTGTGGTGAGCCCCCAAACATAAAATTATATTCGTTGCTAGTTCATAACTGTAATTGTGCTGCTGTTATGAATTGGGCAACCCCTGTGAAAGGGTTGTTCAACCCCCAAAGGAGTCACAACCCACAGGTTGAGAACCACTGATGTAAAAAGTTATAGTGGATCAAAACATCAAATTTCATTCGTGTGCAATCTGACTTATAAAAGAAGCTCCAATTCATATTCTTGAGAAAATGAATGAAATAAAAGTAGATGTCTTATGTGTCTTCCTGGGGGGCACTGATCAACGATCGTGAGGTTAATAACACCATGCCGTATTCTGTTTGCACAACTGTCTCTAGATCCATGTACAGGTTCCACATAAACACAGTGAAATACAAGGGGGTACCCCCCGCCAAATGGATTTTTTCAAAGCTATGTATTTAAATTTTTTTACAAAACAACCTTATCACCTTTAAAGTACTCTCCATTACACTTAGTACATTAGTCAAATCTGCAGTTCCATTCTTAGAAACATTTTTCAAACTTATCTATTTGGATGGCTGACAGCACCTCTCTCATTTTTTTCTTCTCCTCTTCCACATCATCAAATCTCTTTCCTTTCATGTCTCTCTTCATTTGAGGAAACAAAAAGAAGTTGTACATGGAGCCACGTCAAGTGAGTAAGGTGCATGGGGGCAAGAGAGGAATGCTGGGGGTTTTTGTTTGCCAAAAGCTGGCACAGTGAGATGGCTGCATGAGCAGGTGTATTGCCGTGGTGGCAAAACCAGTCCCCCATCTGCCACACATCAGGCCTTTTTTGTGACACACTGTTATGCAATCTTTTCCGAACTTTTAAATAGAAAGCTTGATAAACAGTCTGGCCCGGTGGAACAAACTCCAAATGCACTCCCCCCTCACATCAAAAAAACAAATGAGCATCTGGGTTTTTAGGGGGGTACCCCTCATATCCTGGAATTTCCATTCTTCTCAAGGTTATCCATAATTTGTTATCATCCACACAGTCAAATGCCTTTGCATAGTGCACTGGAACCCCAGTAAATATCTTTCTGGTATTCGCTGCTTTCAGGCAAGATTCATCTGATGCCAGCAATGAGACGCTTTGTTCCAAGTCCTCTTCTGAAGCCAGCCTGAATCTCTGAGAGCTCCCTGTCAAGTGACTGCTGCCACTACTGCTGAACAATCTTCAGACTGCAGATGCTGGCAAAATTCATCAATTTCTTCATCATTAGCTTCAGTGGCTGGCGCATCCATATGAATAACTGGTACATTGACTGGATTTTCTTGGATGTAGACAGATATTATCCTATCACAGACAGCACTGTACTTCAAGGATGACTGATGGGATGCCATTCCTCTTGAAGGTCATTTCCGGCACAGTAAACCATATGACTGATTCAAAATGGCAGATGCGAGAGCATTTCAGCTCACTAACACCTAGGCTGTTGATCTTTATGAGGTCCATTTCATTTCTGATGACTGCTAGTTTTTCTATGTTCATACTTCATACATTCCGAGTTCCAACTATGAGATTTTTTGCAGCTGTTTCTTTCTCATTTTGAATCATGTTCCATCAACAAATGAAGGCCCTGACGACCTTACTTCATCCACACCATTATGATCAACTCTGCTTGGAGGCAGCAGCCCTTTCCTGACCATCATTTGAGTGCCTTCTGACTTGAGAGGGCACCCTGGTGGTGTAGTGGTTGTGCACTGGGCTGCTAACAGCAAGATTAGCAGTTCAAAACCACCGATCAGGCTTTCTACTCCTGTAAAGACTTAGTCTTGGGAACTCACAGTGATAGTTCTACCCTGTCCCATAGGGTCACTGGGAGTGGACACTGACTCTATGGCAGTGAGTTAAGCCCTGACCTGAGGGCTCATCTTTTGGCACTAAATCTGACACAGTAGACCGCCTAGTCCTTCTTCATATGAACTGCTCACAGCAATCGCCTGTTCTCCCTTCAAAAGTTAATTTGGTTTTGGCTATGGTCTGGACTGCTGGGTTTTTTTAACTCCTCCGCACGTGATGGCACTGCATAGGCAAGCTTGAGAGACACCATTCTGATTCAGTTCTCCCAACCTCAACCCTGACCAAAAGCAGAGAGAGTGCATCACAGGCCCCCAGGTCTTCTAACAGGAGACAGCATTACCTCACTCAGAAGCCCACTGTGGTGCCAAAATGGTCTGATTTCCAGTCCATCCTCGCCATGTGTTCCATCAGCCCCTTCTTTGGCAAAACAACTTGTGTTGGATTATTTCTCTTCCTTTGAATAGGGACAATTTTCACGTACTTTCTTATTTGCTAGGCCTCCAGGGAAATGCAGGACCTTCTCTCCTGTTACAATCCCTGGAGACAGCTCCCAGGGAGGCAAGAGACATTTTGCCAAGTGGTCCCAGAAGGAATTGCATAGGTTTCCAAACTTATTTGGCCTACCGGCCCCTCTGCAGATAAATAATAATTACTTAGCACTTCCCTGGTAATTAAAAACTTCTGTATATTTCCATAACCTGGGACAAAG